ATAAATTTTTATAGTTTGTAATCGTTTTCTAACACAAACAACCATACAGTGTATCGGAATTTCACTAAACTCGTATACACAAGAAAATATTTTACAGTGTACCAAATGTTTTATCGAATCATTCGCAGCATATCAATAATTAGTTATAATTAAATTGATAGATTATTTTTAATGTAACGATTCAATTTTCAACTCAAAAATAGTTGTGTAGTAGATTTGGCAGTGTTCGGATGATCTTTTGATTCAATAGCTCATACGGTATGTTTTTATTAAGCAAATATTTTATATAGTATCTATTCTGTTTTATACAACTGTTTCAAATATATTGCGTCCTGTATTGTAATTTGGATGAAAATGCATTATTATTGAACAAATAGATTTTTATAACAAAAGCTTTATTTTGTTATCGAAAATGATTAGATTTAATTTTTTTTCTTTGAACTTGTTTATCATTTTAATAAAATTGATGATATTTTCTATTGTAAATAATGGTATAAACATAATTTTCATAAAGAAAACAACGTTCGTGATAGATTACTTACAGAACAAAAGCTCAAGACCAAACACAAAAAATCATTCATTGTGAAAAAATCTAGTCATTGTGGATAAGTAGTACACTGCAATTATATACTGCTTAGAATTATATTATATTATAATTGTACATCGTATCGTATTGGTTGTAAAAACTGTCAAAGAGCTTTTATTTGCTGTGCATTTAAGCGTTTGGCCCCAATATTTCAAAAGTGATTTATATTCTCTTCCATGTAGGTAGTAAGTTACTACTAGTAACTATTTTTGAATTGCTTGCACTAATTGCTGAAAGTTTATAGAAAATCTAAACATTCACAAATAAACCAACGCAAGCCAATATATTATAATGCTTAAAGTTTTACTTGCACGCAAAACTATAGAATTATAGATGGATAAACTTTTTCAAGTATCAAACAATAACTTTTAATGATGTTCTACTGAATTACAATTGCAATATTTGACTCATGAAATTTTCCTTCTCGTCCTTGAATTAACGTTAAAATTAGTTTCAATTGAAATAACAAATAATTAACGCTCTTAGTAAACATTATTTAATCAGTTTTAAAATGAAATAGTAAATTTTAAGGTTTTATTCTATGGTTTACATATTCATATATACATATACATTGAACGGGGCATTGAACGTAGCTGTCCTGAAAAAAAAATATAGAAAAAATTACACAGCGTTGTTTGGAAATATGAGCTTTAAGTGTAATATTATGTAATTTAGTATATTAGTAATTAAAAAAAAGTGTAATCTAGAGGTTTAATGTCATCGTTACCATTTTTTGGTTATATTATGGGCAATTTTCACTATTTTTGTTCATTTAAACTTTGAATCCGTATTCGTAGTCAAAAGTAATGGCACAATTACCACAAATTTTTCAAAATAACCTTTTTTGTTGAGCTATGAATTTAAATTTTTTAAAATCGATCATCTTTGCCAAGCCCTTCTTTAAAAAAATATACCATGCGCATGTAATTTGAGTTGTTTCCTATTAAAAAAAATCGAGTGATAAAATAAAAATCTAAAAGTAACACATTGCAGCTTTCGCGTACGATAAGCTTTGAACTGACTGAATAAAATGCATTATCAAAAATCATGTCATTCTTAGGTTTTTATTACTTGCTCGAAATTTTTATTGTAAAACAATCCTGATCAAATGTGCCAACTTTCGGTAAATCTTGCCAACGCATTTTAATTTCAACAAAGACACTTTATTCTTGAAAATTCGGGCAAATTATGTAGTTATTTTTGGTCTTCGCAATGTTTTTTATGATTACAAAAATAACCACAATAACCGAACAATGGTTACAATTTTACCAAAGTTCTGGTTTGCAATTAAAAGCTTATAATTTTCAAACAACGTGAGAATTTTTTTTCTATTTTTTTCAGGATATTTACAGTTGAGTTCTTGGAGTATCGTTTGGTCTTATATCTTACTCTATTATTAAGAATCATATCGTTTAATTTTACTCGAAAAAAATATTCCATAAATAAATAATTGTAAGTCGTAATATAAATGAAAAATATTATCGGAGTATAATACTATTAACAAATTTCCGATTTCCATCCAGACAACTGTTCACCATGCCGATGTGGTTTTTCGTGCTGCTCCTGGTGTGTGGTGTGTGTCTGGCACAAAATGAGGGCATAAAGGGCGTCAAAGGTGGTCGTTATGGCAACATACAAGACCGTCTACAATCGGAGAGCCACTTCGCATTGCAGAACGCGACCGATGCATTCGTGCAGGGCTACGTCAATAGAACTAGACTACCGCCCCCGTTATTGCATCGAGTGCAGACTAATGCAACGGATTATTTCGGACCGATTCCGAGCGGAATTTGCTATAAAGAAGTCCCGTAAGTTTGATAATGGATATTCAAACTCAACTACTCGATTTTACTACTTGAGTTACAGAAAATTCATGAGCCAATTCTGCCCTAAAATAGACCAATGTTATGGCAACGCTACATTACGTTGCTTCTTTTCATATAAAATGGTACTAAAAACTGCCAAAATTCTATGTATTTGCTGTGCGATCAGATGTTTCACACATAAAATTTACTTTTCTTATATTAAGACACAACACAAAGATGGTAACTTATGGCAAGATTATTTTTTGGCGTTAGTGGATTTTCTAGACTAGGTTTTACATACATAGCATTTTGGCGGCTTTTAGAACTATTTCAATTGAAAACAGCAGCGTAACATAATCTTCTGGTATTTGGTCTATTTTACGACAGAATTTTTCCATTATGGATGCTATTGCATCTATTGTTTTATCAATATATTATTGTAAAATATTGGAATACAAGCCTACTTCAAAGTTTATTTTTGAAACATTCCTGTAACTTAAATATTTGTTTTTGAGAAGTTGATCTTTATATGTTTCATGGAATCTCAACACAGTTTTTCCATGTAGGGTAAGGTTGTTAAAGTCGTACCACAGTCTAAATCGTACTTCTGCTTTACGTCATATGATAATTAAAAATTAACTATTTGTTTTTTACAATATTTTATACATGACTCAATGGTAAAATTTTCTTAGGTTGTCTCGTGTCAGTAGCTTTTTATGATTATTATTAAGTAGTAAAGTTTTATGGATTTATTTTATTGAATATGAAAAAATAATAAATTAATACAATAATCTTAAGTTTATTACGAGTAGAAGCAGTATTTTTCAACTTGATCACAGACTGCATTCGATAATTTTTAGTAGTAGGTACGACTAAGGCATCTTCATCGTACCAAAAATACCTTTTTGAAAATTATAAAAGTAATGATTGAATGAACACATTTATAAGTTCAGTAACTGTTAATTTTAAGCCAAATTAATAAGGATTCAATAAATGTCAAAAATTATCTTTTAGTTTAATTGCGCTAAATATAGCATTATTTTCTTAGGAAGTGCGACTTTAGCAACCTTACCCTATATAACTAAATTAAATAATCGCAATTAGTTCCAGTATTTTTTTTTAAATTGTTTTATCTTTGATTTATTTTTTTATGTTATAATTTTGAAATATTGAAAATTTTGATCATACCTTTGAACTTTTAATGGCTATTTTGTGTTTACTACTGTTTAGTCTCATATCAATATTAATATATAAATATCTTGTATACCAAAAATTAAAGAGATGTAAATTAATCCAGTTATTGTTAAACTGATTGACTTCACATTCTACCATATCAGACTTAATTTCCAGTAGTTTAATAATGAAAATTATTTTCAATTAAATAAATCCTGCAGTTTTTTACTATCTTATGTGTCGACATAAATTACAAATTTTTAAAAATTATGAAATAATCACAAATCTTGGTGACTAATCTAAAATGCTAAGACGTTTAGTTTAAATAATTCACAAAAATAGTAAAGCTAAATTACTTAATTTGATTTTTTTTAATTATTAAAATATAATTAACTCTGAATTTCTCCACAGAACAGCTTCACTGGTTCAAAATCCAAACCTCCCAGTACCAGCAGGAAATGGAGTAAGTTTTTGCAAATCTTTATATTATTTTACTAAGTATTTTTAAACAACTTTGGAATATGTCCATGTTATAATATAATTATCAAGATAATTTTTTATTAATCATACGATTACATTTATAAAAACATTTTGTGGTTTCTGCGTTGCCAAAACCAATTATCTCACGATTCGCGTTCCTCTGCATTCTGCAGATAATCCGTATCGACCGCAAATATTTGATTACCAGAAATGCTTCTATACAACAACTTAATCTACTTTTGTAATTTATCTCTAGTGTGGTTTATTCTAGCAAAACTAATTTAACTAATTTGGAAATTGGAAATAAATGCAACACGCTCACAGTGCAGCTTATATAAAAATCTTTACTCGACATGTGAAACGTAAGCTAAGTTGATTAAATTGTTCTATTATACTATAAAAAATAGTATGCTATATTGCCTATATTTATTTGTATATATTAAATGAAATAGGTTTATAATATTTATATCGACAAAAATTTATTAGAGATTTTATTTTTTGCAAGTGTGTTTGCAAGTTTTATTTTTTACTCTTACATTTCCGGCAACATCGTATAATTGATCGTATTATAAAATTATGAAAGCATAAATAAAATATCCCCATCGGACGTGAACTTCAAACAATTAATAACAAAAGTTTTAAATTTATTTCTAGAAAAATAAAATAATTCTATAAAATTGATAAAACTTTAAATATTTCATGACATATCAGACATATTGAATGATAAACTCAAATAAATATATGTATATTTAAGAAATATGCCAGTTAGGATGTATTGTAAATGGCTTAATGTAATTAGAGGAAGCCAATAAAATAATAAAAAAAAACTTAAGTAAATAGAAACGCAAAGGTTTATACGTATGCCGTCGACTTTGTGTACATATTCACAAAAAAGCATTGAAAGATCTCTGACCTATATGAAATATAAACCGTTTTTGTTTTTTGGGCTAATTGAAATGATTAGCATTAAGGTTAGTTTAATTCGACTGTAATTTAACAAATTAGACTATATTTTTGTTATCTAGAGCTGAAAGTTGTTGAAGCTAAAAATTGTTGAAGTTAAAAGTTAATGTTATATGCAAGGGCAGATTATTAGTAATTTACCTTATGGGCCAAATCTCAGGTAAAATAAACCGTAACATGGCGTTGTTATGACAACGATATGTTACGCTCTTTCTTGGTAGTAAAAACTGTCAAAATGCTATGCACTATCAGACGTTTTCGCAGTTTTTTGTACCATTTTATACAATGAAAGGGGCGTTGCTATAACAACGCTATACTACGGTCAATTGTATCGGAGAAATGGCCTATTATTGTATCAAACATCATGAACATTATTTACTCTAGAATATTATTGATATATTATAGTTCTGTTTTACGGCAGGTAAAATGCGATATAAAAACACAACATTTTATTTGTCCCTATTCGTTTATTAATCAATTTTAATTCACAAATTTCATTGCTTTTGTGTGCTGTTCCTTGAATTTTAATTTTCATTTATATTTAACATCTACATTTTTGTTATTTTTATTGTTTCCGTCCTATTTTTCCTTCGGCAATTCGGCGGAAACTAGCCACTTTTGATAAAAAGGACCTAATCCAGTTTCCTTTCATTTTATATTTATACACCTAGTTCTTTTATTTCTCAATCGTTACAAAAATTTCTCATTTGTTGCCATATCAATCTCAAAAATTTACAGGTTTTGATTTCATTGTAATCTGGTGCATTTTATTATCCCAAATCAGTCTAGCGGTTTATACAGCCGAATCCAAGTCTGCTGTGATGGTTTCGAACGCAATCCCCATGTTTTCACAAAATGCGACCCGATATGTGAACCTGGATGCATAAACGCCCGTTGTGTGGGACCTAACAAGTGCAAATGCTACCCGGACCACGCTCAGGACTTGGCCGGCTTCTGCCATCCGACCTGCCCCATCGGTTGCCTCAACGGGGTCTGCTACGGGGACCGTTGCTCGTGCCACGAAGGATATGTACTGGACAACACAGGACGAATGTGTGTCCCGAAATGCAGCCAAGGATGTGCTAATGGTAATAAAATACGTTTTTTTATACCACACGACATAGTGAATCATAGTACTTTTGTAATTGCCTTATTTTCCATGAGTCACTAAATTGTACTGTATATTCCTTAATAGCAAGTTATAGCTTTCAGACCATTTATACTCATGAGATGCATTTTAAACTATTAAAATGTTAAAAGTATAATAATATAATACAAATTCCGACTTCGTTCGCTTTACGTTCGAATTTGACGTAAGAGTAAAAGCATATCTAATGGGCGTGTATTTAAAAAACGGAAAATACTAACTTAAACTAGTGGGGGGCATGGCATTGTGCCTAGGCAAATGGCTGGAACTTCCTGTACCAAAAATTATTGTTTTTTTAAAAGATTAACATTTTTGAAAAAAAAAATTACTCTGAAAAATTAGATTTTTGAGAAACTATAAATTTTTGGCAAAAATTTACTTTTTTTTGAAAAAAAAGACTTTTTGAAGAAAAATGTATTTTGAAATATCTTGGAAATTCTGAACTTTTTTTCAAAGCAATAGTACTGCTTTAACTGCATAGATTCGAAATATCGAAGCGGGTAAGTGCCGCGCCGCGCCGCTGTCTAACGGATAAGTATTGGTACGGAACCTATAGGAATGTAAACTTATTGTAAATACTTATTGTTGAAATCTCTATAAATTAAGTGATAATTTGATGTGCATATGTCTAATGATCATTTTTGACCGCCAGATAGCATTGTTTTTTACTTTTTTTTACTAGATCTCCAAAACCGCTAGACCATCCTTCATAAAAATTTGGTCAGTTCTTCATCTTGTTAATACAAGTAAAATATTTTTTGAATTATTCAAATCGGACGCTCCGTTCTCTTAAAAACTGAGTTACCGTTTTTGGCACTTTTTGCCCCATATCTTCGGAACGGCTAGTCCTGCCTTCGCCAAAAACTAATCAGCATGTCTCCTTGTCAATACAAATCGAATGTTTTTTGAATTATTCAAATCGCTTCATTCGTGTTCCCGAAATCGTCGACGAAAATTTGTATCCGCACACACATACACACACGCACACATACACACATACATCAATTTTTTGTAAGGTATGCCAAAATATTCAAAAACCTTTGAAACGTAAAGATATATAAAAAATATCATTTTCGATTTTTTGCGATTATTATAACTTACACTACGAGAAGTTAAAAATAATTTTAAGAAAAAATGGCTATGTACTTTGCTAATTAAGTATCGTAACCTACAAATAATTTGTAAGTTTTAGTGTTAACCTGAGTATTGTGTACTTAATTTGTATGCTTTGATAGGTTTTGATAAGTTTATATAGAAGAATAGTTTCAAGTAAAAAAAACCAGTAAAATTGTATCATTTTTTAAATTAAGATAAGAATATAAGATATAATTTAAGAATATAAATAAGATTTATGAAGTGTTTTGATAAAAGACCGAGTAACGCCCAATTGACAATGCTACGTTACGCTGCTTTCTTGGTAACAAAAACTGTCAATAGCTAAATATTTGCTATGCAGTTAGGCGATTTAGATATAGAACCAATCCTAGAAAACAAACAAATATTAAAGATGTCTGTATTTCTGATGCGTATTTATAACACATCTATGAAGCTAAGTTTTATGTGTAAAACGCTTGACTGCACAGAAAAATCATTGCATTTTGTAAGTTTTTACTACAATTATTTTTATATGAAGATCATATATTTATTTTATATGAAGAAATAAGCTTTTTTATTGTAGCGCTATGTTAACGTCTATTTTAGTCTAGAGCCCCTAAATTCATTTATTTAAAAAATATATTTAAGAATTCCATTTCAATGTTTCAAGTAATTCTAAATAGACTGAAGTATAAACCTTATTCTTCCCCAAATTAGTTTATGTTTTATAATAAACGCTCTAAGTGGGAAATTTATTACTATTATAAATATATATGAATTTTAGCAACGTAATTTCATAATTGTATGAATCTATTTACTTAAAAATATGTTAATGTTATCAATTGGAAACAACGATACAAATTTTAGGTTTAATTTTTATAAGCTTTTTATTAACTTTTTGTGAATCATCGATATTTTTTTAAAAATTGACTAATAATAATATAAAACATAGTAAGTATTTTTAGGTTATATTTATCTGCTTCCAAAAAAATTAAGTAAAATTGTAACTAAAACTTGATTTGAACTTAATAATTTTGTATGAAGCTTACTCGATAATTTTACATTATAAACATTTACATAAAAGATTCAAATTACACACACGTTATTTGCTTTGTACTTATACAATACGATATTTATCTGACAAATACATCATTTTGCTAAAACAAAATACTGAAAATCAATATGGAAATAAATATGAATAACAAACAGATAAAATGATTCTGCTTTTCTGTTTGCATATCATGATTTACAAGTAATTATTTTGAATGTGAAATTGTGTTTAAATTGAAACAAATGAAATGAGCAATGAATATATTGAATATTTAATTTTGTTGCGCATCATAATAAGATTGCTAATTGTTAATATTGTTGCATGCTTTTTTATGTTTCCCAAATACTTTTTACAAAATTATTTTGTATTTTGTCAAATTTTGAACGTATGTTATGTTCTATTTATATATTTTTTATTTATATATAAATTACAATCTGTCTATAAAAAACATTGAGTAATTGATTTGGAAATTAACAGTAGCATTTTCTAGGAAGAAAACTCAACGGTTTGTTTTATACTTGTGTACTACATTCTACTCTAAATATCTTATTTTACAAAAATGTTCTATTTATATGTAATAAAAATTGTGTCTATTTTATCTAGGAAATTGCACAGCCCCCGAAACTTGCACCTGTATCGCGGGTTTTGTTCGCAATGAAGTCGGCCAATGCGTCCCTCACTGCACCAACTGCCATCACGGAGACTGCGTCGCCCCAGAGGAATGCAGGTGTCACCAAGGGTACGCGAAGGAAGAACATATATGCGAACCGCAATGTCCCAGGTGAATTATTTTATCAGGATTTGCATGTGAATAGACGGAAAAAGCAATATTCAGAAAATCAGAATAGAGCTTTTATGCTTTGGGGAAATTTTGTTTATTAAAGAATTGATTGTATTTGGGTATGATTTGTTATATCAATATTGTGCATAGCGAAAACTGAAAATAATAGAATATTAATTCCTGGAACATGAATTCGCTATCTCGGGAATTATTGGAATTTTTGGGTAAAGTAATTTAACGAAAGATTAATAAATAGTGGAATTGTCTATCGAGACCAACATTAGCACAATTAAATGACTAATATTAACCATTATGCAACGAATGTCGTCCACGGACGACATCCACAAGACGTGCTGTGTGTATTGAAGCCGCTGGTGTGTTTGCCCTTGCTTCAAGATTTCTCTATAAACTATTGAAAATTCTAATTTTTGTTGTAATTTCTAGTTCATTGGAAGCGTAATTTTTATTTTTTAACATATTTTTATTGATAATGATAGAAATACCTTAAAATATATCACTGTGCCGGTCCGTTTAATAATGCAACTGAGAGGTTAAATGAAAGGGTTAAATGTAAACTCAGCTCAAATAAGATAATATTATTAAACTATACAATAGGAATATGAGATAATCAGCGAAATTTCTAATTCATCAGATCTGATGTAAATAATTAAATGAATCAAAAATATTTTATTAGATCATAATTACGCGACGACAGATTTTACCAAGTTTTCTAAATTTAAACTCTATATATAAAAATATAGATAAGGTAAAATTATACAATTTTACATATGTTTTTTGTCCGTTGAAATTTTTGGATGTTTGAAAACAGTTTTTGTGAATTAGTAGCATAACATAAAATAAAATTGGATTTAATTAAAATTAAATTGAGACATAAAATATAAACAAAGAATAACAAATTTACGTTATTTACGTAATTTTTAAATGAACCTAATATCATTCACGTATGTAAAAGTAATATTAGGCAATCAAAACAAGTTCTGATTCGCCCCATATAAGCGGAATAATAAATTAATGTAATTTCAATTATCATTCAAGTGGCATTGTGTCTAAAGGCAAGTCGCATGGATATATATCATAAATAATATATTAACATAGAGCTCAGCTATTCAGTTCAACTTATAACATGCGCATAATTCCAAATTGTAAAGAATTTTTATAATTAATCCATTTATCGTAAAACTATAATTGGTCAAATTATTTTACATTCTGTCGACAAAACTTGTATCGTATGTTCATGTGCACGATGTGGAACAAAGCGGTACCGTTTCGTCTTTTCTGCAAATTATGCAGCCCCTAAATTCTTCAAGGAAAAGGGTCGATTGTATTGTTCTTTTTTTTTTTTTTTTTTTTTTTATTTTCTTATAAATTACAATCTGTCTAAATTAAAAGACATTGAGCAATTATTTTGACAAATAACATTAAATTATAAAAGGAAAACCCAGTGGTTCACCATTTATTAGTGTACTAAATTATATTATAATTTTGGTATAATAAAGAAAAAAAAAAGAAACTCAAATAAACATACAATTATAAACAAAGTAAAAAACAAAACAAAACACACACCTATTTTAAATAATATTGTAGAACAACTTATTACTGATTAATTTGTTAGATTTATTAATTGTGTTCTTTTTAATCTTATATTGTGTGTGGTATTGTAGAGACTTGCAATCAGTTCGTTTGGATGGTGGTCAACTTTAGTCTTGAAATTATGGGCACTCTTTCTAATTTCTTCACTGATTGTCAGTGTATCCGTGTCTTGGTGAATTAGCCACGTCGGTACATACCTTGGCGCGGATATTGCTTGCCTGAGTATTTTATTTTGAAAACGTTGCATTATTTGCAAGTTACTGACTTTAGCAGCACCCCATAGATGGATGCCATACATCCAAACTGGTTTCAGAATAACTTTGTATAATAAAATTTTATTGTACATCGACAGTTTTGATCTACTACTGAGGAGCCAATACATCGACCTTCGAAGGTGTTCTAGATGTTCACGCTTTTTTTGAATGTGGATTTTCCAGTTCAATTTCTTGTCCAGATACATACCCAAATACCTTACATGATCTTGGCTTGGAATTTGTTCGTTATAAATTGCGACAGGTGGGCATGTATCTTTCCTAAGAGTAAACGTAATGTGAACAGATTTTGAATTATTAATTGTAAATCTCCATAAAGTAAACCATTTTTCAATTATATCAAGGTGTGACTGCAGCTGCGTTGAAACCGTAACAGGATTTTGATTTCGGGTTATAATGCATGTGTCATCCGCGAATAATGCCAGATTAGTATTGGTAAATTGAGGAAAATCAGCAGTGTATAGTAAAAACAGCATAGGGCCTAGGACACTTCCTTGTGGTACTCCCGCGTTTACTTCTCTTAATTCTGACTGCGTGCCACTTATATCAACATAAAACTTTCGTTCGCAAAGATATGATTGTAGTAGTGAGTAAGTTGAATAAGGTAGATTTATTTTTATTTTATACAAGAGACCTTTGTGCCAGACTTTGTCAAACGCCTGAGACACGTCAAGAAATACTGCAGAACAGTACTCCTTACAGTGTAAGGCTGCGTTGATGATGTTAACAACTCGATGGACTTGCTGTAAGGTCGAATGCTTTGCCCGAAAACCAAATTGATAATTTGGAATTATATCATTGGAAATTATATGATCATTTATTCAACTCAAAAGCAATTTTTCGAAAATTTTTGATATAATCGGCAATAAACTGATAGGTCGATATGATGGTGCTAGGTGTTGGTCTTTTCCAGGCTTCAGTATTAGTATGATTTTTGCAATTTTCCATGCTGTAGGAAACTTACGAATCCTCAGTATTGCATTAAAGACGATGGTAATGAATCTGAATACAATGGCGGGTGATTCTTTTAGCATTTTCATTGATACTTTGTCATGGCCAGGAGATTTACCAGTTTTGGCTTTGTTGATTTGACGTTTTACTTCTGATAATAAAATTTTTGTAATTGAATCTTCGTTTCGAGGTTTATTCTGTAGATACTGGTGGATAAAATATTCAGCATCGTCTGTACAATTTTGAGGAGCTGGATGAAAAGAATTAAATAGATGATCCGCAAAAATTTGTGATTTATCTATTGGGTTTCTAGCCCAGGATTGATCTGATTTCCTTATAGGTGGAATTTGTCTTATTGGATTTTTGATTTTTCTAGTCGCCTTCCATAATGAGTAGTTGGTATCCTGATTTGGAGTAAGATTGTTCAAGTAATTATCGAATGATTCATTTTTGTGCTGAAAAATTAGTGCCTTTAGGTCTCTGCAAGCTTTATTATACCTTTTTTTATCTTCCGGTGAGCGGGTTAATTGCCAAACTTTACGCAATTTTCTTTTAATTGCAATGTTTTGTTTAATATTTATAGGACACAATGATTTTCGATTGCCTGCGAACTTGGGAGTAGAATTTTTAGCCGCATCTTGAAATATACTGGTTAGATTGTTTATTGCATTGTTGATATCATGTTCATGTTTGAGGGAAATGTTACAGTTCACTTTGCTTTCAATTATATTTCTAAAAGCAATCCAGTTTGTCAAATAATTTGTTAGATGGTGATCACTTAAGCCAGACTTTAAAACTGTTGAATAATTCAATATTACTGGGGAGTGATCAGAAGTTAAATCCAGACATGATTCAATTCTCAGTAAATCTTCATTAATATTTTTAACTACAAAAAAGTCTAAAAGGTCTGGTAATTTACTCAAGTCACTTGGCCAATATGTCGGTTCCCCAGTTGAAATAGAATTATAGTTATTTGAGTCGATTGATTTAAGAAGTTCACGACCACGTGGCGTAATTAACCTCGAGCCCCAAGAAGTGTGTTTGGCATTGTAATCACCTCCTGCTATAAATTTATTACCCAATTTACTGAAAAAGTCTGAAAATTGATTTTTTGAAATAATATGCTTCGGAGGACAGTAGAGAGCTGAAACAGTGACCGCGCACAATGATAAGTCAATGCTAACACATGTTGCTTGCAAATAATTTTCACAGATTGGTTCTAGCTCATAATGACGAATATTAGATCTTATTATTATTGCCGATCCACCGTGTGCTGTTCCATCTGGGTGTTCAGAGCTATAGATAGTAAAGTTAGGTATTCTTAAATGACATTTTTCTTTTAAATGAGTTTCTGATATTAGTAGCATATCGATTGAATTGTGTGATAGAAAATATTTAAGTTCTTGTATGTGTTGATACAAGCCATTGGCGTTCCATAAACAAATTTTCAGTGATGTAGCCATTACTTATTTTTTGAAAGGATGGTTGTTAATAGATTGAGGATTATACTTATTTGTTCTGCTAATGTTTTGATCATTTGTTTTAGTTCTGAAATGTCGTTGTTATTGTTGTTGTTGTTGGTATTGTTCGTTTCATTGGCGTTGTCCGTTGAAGTTTGATTTGTATTCGTATCTTGGCGAGTTGCGTAAGCGAAGCTCTTTCCTGGTTGCACTAAATTATTTTCTTGCCTTTGTGAAAATTTGTGACAAAGAATTGGAAATTTCCTTTCAAGTTGCTCTTGGTAGACTCTGCATCCTTTATAATTGGCTGGATGATTTCCGTCTGTGCATAAAACACATTTAACATTTTTATTAATTTTATCTTCCCAGGAACAATCTTTGGTTAAATGATTTCCTGCACACTTTACACATCTAGGCAATCTAAAACAATAGTTTTTGGAATGTCCTAGACGTTGACAGTTTGAACACTGTAGTATTTCACGGGAAAAGTGTCTTGGCTCAATCTCAACACTGGTATTGTAGAGGAAATTAATTTTGTAAAAGTCTGTATTGTTTGGCTTCTGCTCTAAATCTATTGAAAACATATTAAGCGGGTATTTTGTGTACCTACTTTTTATATTTGAGATATTTATTACCGTATGTCCTAGTTTCTCAATTTCAGTTTTTAACATTTCCGTATCTGTGCTATGGTGCAAGTTTTTAACAA